GCCATTGTGGTGCAAGAGGTGGCTGCCGGCCCCAATTGCCCCTCAGGAGCAGGGGGAGGTGGAGAAGCCCTGAGGGGCTATCAGGGCCAGCAGCCACAGCTCGAATCCACTGATAGCGCTGAGCAATTGGGGCAGGCACTGGGCGGTGGCAGCGGGTTTGAGCGGGGCCGGCGCCTGCAGAAGGTGCAAGTGCCTGGTGTGATCGCAGTGCGTGGGGACAAAGAATTTTCATTAACCACCAGAGGCTTGGCCTGGTGATAGTGACCAGCACCCCACCTTGGTCTGGCACCCCCATTCACCTGCTCCACCATCCCACCACAGCCGATGCCTGCCATGTTTCGCACTCTGCTGCCTGCTGCCAATGCCTGCCATGTTCCCCACGTGCCTCCTGGTGGTGGTCAGCACACATCATAGCTACTGGTAGGTTGTTCTGCCATTTGGTCTATTTGCATATTAGGGCTTTATATATAGAGAGATGTTACACGTTTAAAATTTTATCATTGTGATAAGTATCATAATTGGAATTGTTTAAATTATTATTTTTTATTTTTTGAAGAGTATAAAATTAAGTGAGAGAAAACTAATATTGACCCATAGTGTGAATTGATGTAACACTCCAACATAATGGTTCTTAGAAGTTTGATATACTTTTATGCCAATATTTTATTTTCCTACACATTTGTTACCTAATTAAGAAAAATATTACACTATATTGATTTACATTGCATTGTTGCCTCCACAAATATATTTTGTTTACTGTGAAATATTTATGAGTTATTTACTTCCTGTAAGATATATGGCCAGCCTCAGGCATATTATGTGTATCACACTCCTTGCCCAAGACCAGGTTAGAAAAATATCAGTTAGGAGGGAAAAAAAAGTAAAGTGCTGACTGTAAGCCCAAGACAATGCAGAGAGCTTTACAAGCATTATTAAACTATTTCTTCAAAGCAACTCTATATGGGATAGTCGCAATTATTCTTTCATTTACATCAGTGACTAGTTTATCCAAACTATACATTTATGAATGGATACATCCAGGACTGCTCCTAGTCTGGGTACAAATCCCAGGATAGTGTGGCTGGCCACCTGTGAGGGCACAAGCGCCACTCTTTTCTTCAGCATTAAGTACCATCATTTTCTGTTGTTTATTTAAAATGGGTGAACGATGCTGCCTTTTCGATTTATTCCTTTTTTAAGAGCAGCTAACTGAAAATATTTTCTATCTAATGAAAGTATTTCATTTGTGAAATTATATTTCCTGCCTTTCATTTATCCATTAGGATCTTAGTGTATTCTTCTCCACTTGTATGATCTCTTGTTTAAGAATTTAAGTCACCCTTTATCCACAGCCCATTGTCTTGTTTTTCTGATCTAGTATCTTTGAGAATTTCTTTCCTAGAGTTATAATCGCCTGGCTTCGGTAGGAGGAAGGTTATCTTACTTACACTGACACACTTCGTACATATATTGATCAGCTCTGTGTAAGGCCTGGCTGAAGTAATTTCATTTGAATCTTCTTTGGGCTTAGAAAGCTCCTGTTATCATATCTTAATCTTCCAAAGGACAAATTAAAATAGCCTTAAAATAAAGACCAATGATTTTTGTTTATAAGCCTAGAAGGCCTAAACTATTTTAAACTGGGATAGTAATGTTCTTGTTACAGCTCCATGCAGTTACTCACAGGCCTCCAGGTGCTGGGAACTGATGGAGATGCAGATGTGCCCTGTGCTGAACCACAGCTCACATACATTAGATTAGCCCCTATTTTTAGCACGTTTTAGTTTCTATTTCTAAATTACCTCTGAGGCTTCTGAGCATTTTCAACCTGTACTTCTGCAAGTATTTATTGATTAAGGAAAGAACATGAACTTTATACCATCTGGTGTGGAGGTGTCTAGGTTATTTTAAAAGTTATTTAAAGGATCCAAATCACTTAGAAGATCTATCTCACTTCAGATATTTATAGAAAAGGTACTTTACTTTTAATTTTCTTAATAACAAATTTATGCACAGTATGCTCTGATTACTAAATTTTTAGAAAATGTATTTTGTGAAAAGTATGCTTTAAAAATTTGCATTGCCCATTTTGTATTTATATGAATTGGTCTGAATGTAATTAGTTATTCACTTATATTACCAATGGAAATATTAGCATGGTAATATTATATGGATCATGAAAAATCTAAATTCCTCTGCTGTAATGTTAATTTATTCTATCACTTTAATTATGATATTACTAAGAGTAATAGCTACAACTTTTCTCCCAAAATATATGATCAGCCAGATACTCACCAAGGTGAATATATATAGTCTCTCACTTTATTTTCATAAAACCTATGAAGAAGGATTCTTATCTGTCAATTGAAACACAAAGAGGTTAACTAAGTAACCCAAGGAAATTTACTTATGTCATCTTAAAACAAGTCAAAGAAACTATCAGTACAAAATCTGAAACAAGGTCTCAGAAAAGGTAGACATACAAATATCGAATATTACATGATTTCAGATTTTTTTATTAAACTTTGCTAAAACTATGAATCAGAATTCTAGAGATAGGTAAGATGATTTAAATTTTTCAGGACTAAAATTTGTGGATTTGGTGTCATAGTGAATTGTATGTGTGTGCATGTGTATGTACTCATTTTTAAGACAAGTTCCCTATTATGATTTTTAAAATTAAGAGGAATGAGTAAAATATTGATATTTATAGAATCATTAGTGTGCTTGTTTGAGTCTTAGAACACTACCAAGTATGAAGCGAATCCTATTAGGCAACGGCCACAATATGCAATTACTATTGCCTTCCTAAGCACATTCCTACCTGAGCTTACTAACTTGTACACACGCATCTGGAAGGGTGTTTGTACCTTATTAGGAGATGACATCATCTTTTTTATCACTAAAAATTGATCAGGTGCATTATTAAATTAAAATCCATTATTAATTTATTTATTATTTTTTAGTTGGAACTGGGCTGTTTGAAATTAATACATGTATGCACATTTTTTATATTAATAAACTGAGATAATTGTGAAGTTAAACCAGTTACAGTAAAACACTGACTACTTACAGATTGTCATTTACTATGTTTAAACTATGAAAAAGAAAAAATAATCAAAGAATCATCATCATCTCAAGAAACTGCCAGTCTAAGAAAAGAGGAAGGCGGACTTTCTTGAATAGTCAGATAGTAAAAGTTTTAGGCTTTGCAGGCCCTACATTCTCTTTCACTACTCAACTCGGCCATACAACTCTAAGGAAGCCACAAACAAGAAATGAATGTGGCTGGTTCCAATAACACTGCATTTGCAAAAATAAATGGGAGGCTCGATTTGGTCCATGGACCATAGTTTGCCAGCTCCTAATCTGAGTTTTGATACAAGCAGAAACAGTGGGAAAGTTAACATATATATCAATAATTATATGACATTAATAAATGTCTTATAATTGCACTAATAAATAAATATAATTATAAATAAATACATTAAGATGTGCAAAAGAAACACTTCTCAGTGTTTTAACATTTTGATGTACTGTAACTTTGACTTTCAATATCTCTATAATGAGAATAATTTCTTGGCATATTCTTTAAAATACAAATTATCAAACTGGAAATAAATGTCATATAGCCATTTCTGTTTAGTAGTATTCCATTTTAGTGATAACCAAATTGTCACATAGTAGCACAAAAATTAAAACATCATAAATGCTTCAGCTGGGCCTATGAACCAGGGTGTCATGGTTCAATTGCCAGTCAGGGCACATGCATGGGTTGTGGGCTCAATCCCCAGTGGGGGGCATGCAGGAGGCAGCTAATCTATGATTCACTCTCATCATTGATGATTGTATCTCTCCTCCCTCTCTGAAATAATTCCCCTGGCATAAGAAAAAAAATTTTTTTTTTAAATTAAAAAACAAAACATCATTAATACTTCAAAGAAAATATATGGAACATTGCCTACTTCTTTGAAAAAAATATATTGGAATTTTATTTGGAATTACTTTTCTACCTTCTCTAGCATTATATTTTATTTTCTTCTCCTTATTTGATATAAAATAGAGTAGATACATGTCAAGGAATTAAAGTTCAAAATAGCCAGATTTTGGACAAAAGCCTAAACTTGCTGGTCCATTACTAAGCTTTTCCCACAGTTCTCTCGAAATAACTAGAAATGCTACTCATAAAATATACTTAAAGGTGAATGCGTTGAAGCAATAAATAATTCTGTGTTAAATTCTGCCATCAGTTTATGTGGTTTCCCACAATAAAGTGCAATTTTATTAGGCAGTTTACTCGTGTTTTTTTCTGGATCATTTTTTACTATGAATATGTGAAAATTTTTAAATAATCTTGAACGTTTTGATATCCAGAAAGTGAATGTATTATATATAGCTTGCTTATTTTTAACATAGCAATAGTTCTGCTAATATATAGAGATGCATTTTTTAAATCTGAAAATGTAAATTTAAGTTGAAAGCCTTCCATAAGTGATTAAAGTCACGTATGCATAACATTTTCAATAGGCTTTGATAAATAATTCCACTGGCATAAGAAATCAGTGGGTCAAATGAGAAAGACATTGTTCTCCAGCTGAAATATGTAGGCTCTATGCAAAACATGTATTTGAGGGGCTATTTAAAATGTCTTCTGAATATAAAATTTGCCGGAATTTCGGAGGAGATATATATTTAAATGGGCTTACATATTTTTGCATTTCTATATTAATTGCATAAGCAAGTGTATTAGTTCATATGTCCTTACTGAATCAGCATTTTAAGTAAAATAAAAATAACTATTTAATACAGCTCTGTATGTCTTAATTCCATAAAATGCTATTTAATTTGAAGGGCATTGTGGAAAAAATTAATTGTATGCATTGAGGGATTTATAATTTTGAAAAGCAAAGCAGACACCTGTCTAAATACATAGTGTCTTTATGCTGTATTGAGGGAGTGGGATCTCTTCCTTATCTTGGGCTTTCTTGTTTGCTTTTCAGTTGCTGCGAATGTGGCTGTGGACGGGCTTCTTCCCTGTGCGCTGTTGCCCATCCAAGCCTAATATGGTTAGTGTTCCCTCCCACTTTCACTCCTATGTGATGTCCCACCTACATGTATGATCGTCAGCATTCCTTTTTTTTTCCCATTTGTCTACATTTTAATAGTTAGTATGCCAGTTACACTTTAATAGAAGAATAGAATGAAATTGATTCCCGGGGGGGAATCTTAAGTGATTCCACAGTAAATAATTTCAAATAAATTGTACCTATAGCCTTCATCCTTATGTCAAGCATTTATACTTATCTTCCAAGGCTTTTACTGTGGAACTTATTTCACCCAAGAAGTTGTAAAGGTGTAGCATCTTTTTTACATTTAACATCTCACTGCTTTTGTTGATCCATGAAGATTAAAATCATATCATACATGGAAGTAGCATGCGACTTCTGTCAAGGTGAAATCATCTTTGTCTCCCAGAACCGTGGAAAGACCATGACATAACTGGGATCTTCTATTTTCATAATTGCCGCGGATTCATGTGGCATTGGAGAACAGATCGCATGGAATTTTAAATGGTTTACTTCATATGTTTAAGCTTGAATTAGTTCAGATATTAGAAGTTATTTTCTTAATTTGATACTAATGAGGTAAAAAATATGCACATTTTAAGGATTACTGTCCAAATGGAATGTCCTCAATTTGCAAATCCTAAATATATATCTGGGTTATAGCTGTAAACTGTAGGCTAGAAAGTAAGACCAGAGAACTCTATTCACAGATATAGAAGGACTCCTACCCAGTCGTGAACAACCTTTAAAAAGTGAACTACCCCAGCCCAACCTGCATCGCTCAGTGATTGAGCACAGAACTATAAGCCAGGAGGTCTTAGTTCATTTCCAGGTCAGGGCACATGTCCTGGTTGCAGGCTTGATCCCCACTATGGGGCGTGCAGAAGGCAGCCAATGAAAGATTCTCTCTCATCATTGATGTTTCTATCTCTCTATCTTCCTCTCCATTCTTCTCTGAAATCAATAGAAATATATTTTAAACAAGTGAAATACTCCAGATAATTTCTTTCCAGATTAGAGTTCAAATCTCTATGCTAATCTATTGTTATTTGAAGTCAAAAATCTGCCAAGAGCAGCTGTTCTAAAGTGCATTTTAGAGAATTATAGGGTTGCCTTGTGGCATTTTAAATTGTTACTTGTATTCTGTAGGTGTAAATTAATATTTATTGTTTGAAAAACCTGTAGTAGGAATGAGTGTGCACACATGTGTTGATGTGAGAAGTGGAGCAATGGATACCAATAATCTGAGAACAAGAGACAGTCAACAAACACATTGATAAAATGTAGAAATGTTTTTCTCAACATTTTGAATTTTTTCTATTTGAAAAAAAAATGAAGTTGATATGAAACTACAGATTTGTTTCAAATTATTTAATTTACTTAGGAAAATACTTATATGTTCATGCGATTTCAATGGTAAATCATAAACCCCTGAAATTTGGCAATGGCTAAAGTATAACATAAATGGCTTTACACTGTGATTTTTTTTCCTCTGTGAAAATCTCATTGAGTCTGGAGAATAGTGTTATAATAGATAAATCATCACCAAAGCAGAATAGACAGAATTTATATCTTGGGGGGAAATTGACATCCAGACTTACCTTGAACAAAACCTTAAAGATATCTTAATGAGAATATGAACATTTATGAAGCCATGATTTAGAAAGTATTGGCAAAGACTAACTTTAGCTGGATTTCAAATGCTTGATTTTTTAAAAAAAATAGTATCATTTTCTACTGTGTTATTGATTTCAGGGAGTTTATAAAGAGGAAAGGGAGGAAGGCAGAACTCTGCCTTCACAAAGAACACACCGGGAAACCTAAGACCAAATCATTTTCCTAATATCTTTTTTCAAATAATGTTAGTAATTGTATAGGCAGTGAGCCTGTGTGTGTGTGTGTGTGTGTGTGTGTGTGTGTGTGTGTGTGTGTGTGTATGTGAGAGAGACGAGAGAGAGAGAGAGAGAGAGAGAGAGAGAGATTGCATCAAAAAAAAAGTGGGAGGGGGAGAAATGTTTTATCCATAAATGTGCTTAGGTACCCAGTAAAATGCTAGCAGTATTTTTGGAAAAATATATGGAAGTTATAATTTTTAATGCATTTTAATAAAGCAAAACAAACTAAAGCAAAAGAAAAGTTTAATTGAGATTATATAAATTAGACAGTAAGAAAGTTATCCAAAATTATTACCAGGGAAAAATGGAAGCAAAAAATGCTTTTATTGCTGTGCTTTATAACTTAAAGTCACTATGAGGTTTTAGTTAAAGATACTTTGCTTAATCTGAAGGCTTTAATCTGATGCCTTTGGGTAGAAAACAACCTTAGAAAGTGGAAATTAAGGCTGAGAAGAATAATTTTTCTTGTAGAGTCAGCAAAATACTGAGGAGTCGACCTTACATCTTGTCACCTAATTTTATATGTGAAATCATAGCAGCATTTGTCAATTAACACATAAATAATCCCCAAGGATCATTCTATCATTGTCATTTGTGAGTAGATATATTTACATTTAAAAAGCAGAGATTGTTAGATATTTTGAATTTTTGGAATCTTTTGTCTTTTCTTTTTTGAAAGACTATTCATGAATATTTGTTTGGTTAGTTTGACCTTAATATAATGCAATGCATATACTACATGAAAATTGCCTATGGTAAATATACTGGCTTTTAGAAGTACCTTGATGTGCCTTGTGGAAATTTCAGGGTCTGAAAAGCATAATTTTACAACCATTGATATGGATCTTTGGTTGTTCAATGCAGCTTTACTCCGTTATTTTTCAAATGTATGATGTGCCATTTATAAGATGAAACTGGTAATTATATGATGCCACCTTTGATCTCAAATTACTTTTCATTATTCTGGTTTCCCACTTTGTTGTGCAATCTGTACAAATTCACATAATGGTGATATTTCAAATATTTTCCTGCTTTGACTGAAATCTACCCAGTGATGAAAAATATTTTTATAATATTTCTGAATGAAACACATATGCCAAGATTTTTGGCACCCTATCTTTAAAACTGCCTACATTTTAGCAGAGGTATTTTTTTTTAGTCATCTTTGACTTTATGCCATCACAACTGACTTGATACTAAACATTGTTTCAATATTTAAAAAATCTATATTTATAAACATTCAGTGTTGAATTCATTGTTTTGTTTTGTGGTGTTTTTTTTTAGTCCTCACCTGAGGATATTTTTCCATTGACTTTTAGAGAGAGTGGAAGAGAGAGGGAAAGACAGAGAGAAATATTGATGTGACAGAAACACATAAATTGTTTGCCTCCTGCACGAGCCCAACCAGGGCCCGGGTAGAAGCCTTCATCTGAGGTACATGCCCTTGGACGGAATCAAAACTGGGAACCTTTGGTCCACAGGCCGACGCTCTATTCACTGAGCCAAACCGACTAGGGCTTGAATTCATTGTTTTTAATGTAAATAAGATTTTAGTGTGTGTAATTTCAAATATAACATTATAAATAACATAATTTATCTTTTGATATTCATTTGTGTTTATGATTATAGAATGAAATATATATTTATAGCATAATTATTATAAGTTATTCTGAAATATGCCATGGTCCCAAAGTAGTTTTATCTTTAATTAATTTTTTATTTTTTTCCATCACCATTTATCCCCTCTCTGCCCTCTTCCACCCCACAATCACCACAATGTTGTCCATGTCCATGAGTTTTCTCTCACTTTTTTTCTTTTTTGCTCAATATGTTCACCATCCCACCTGAGCCATCTGCCTGTTTTCCATCTATGAGTCTGTCTCTGTTTTGCTTGGAAGTTCAGTTTGTTCATTAAATTCACATAGTGAAATCATATGGTACTTGACTTTCTCTGACTGGCTTATTTCACTCTACATAATGTTCTCCAGGTCCATCCATGCTGTTGCAAAGAGTAAATGTTTTTCCTTCTTACAGCAGAGTAGTCTTCCATTGTGTCAGACTAGTTTCTTCGTTTATAAGTTTTTATGTTTTCCAGTGTTTTCATATCACTTACTACTTCTGAGAAACTTAAGTGGCGAAGGAAGTAGAGTTTGCTATTCTAAAAGTAAAAATAATACATTCTTAATTTGTTTATTTAACTTGTTTGTGATTTTAGACAATCACTATTTTTTTTAGAATTTTAAAAATATCTTTAATCAGAGACACAGAGATAAACTGTATCTTCTCTTATAATTCAGAGATTACAAACATAAACAAATTTTACTGACAAAAAAGTATCCTGAATACATTGAAACATTAATCATATTTCTTCCTCTATATTAACTGAACTTATCTTGAAATTTGAAGTAAGCCAATTTTTTTTTATTTTCACATACACTTAACACAGATTATTTCCTTTATTTTCATAAAATTTCTGCTGAAGAGTGATGTGGAAGGACTATTTTATTTTATAAAATTAAGAAAAAGGCATAAAGAATGAAGTCATCCCTTTGTAATGATTCTAGACCCTATTTAAAGTGCTCATAGCAGGCAGATGTGAGGTTAACCTATTATATATAGAATATATTAAATTTCAATTGAAGGTTTGCTGTGCAAATTGCTCCAAAATTATTTTTCTAGGGAATCTCAGACAATAAGAGATATTAAGTGGACCTACTGTATTTAAGATATCCAATAGTCACATTATGCAATAATTTAAAAATTAATAGAAATTGTCTACTCTAGTATTAGGACAAAATTACTGAAAACAGGGGGATTCAGTCCACAGATATCATACTTTATCAATGTGTCTTTATATTAAATTTCTAAGTCAACTGAATTCTAACTCAATATTTAGAAGTCTATGATTCATCTTTGAATTTATTGAAGTATTTAAAATTGTTCAAGTCTTCCTATTATTGCTAATTCTAAAAGGATTTGAATAGTTCACTAATGAACAATTGAAAAATTAGTATGTACTGCACTATTTTGGAAGGCGTTATTTCTAATGTGTTTTTTTCTTTGTCTTTTAGGATATAGAAATAAAAATGACATTTAAGAAATAAG